CAATTTCAAATTCGAATTTCAATCTATAATATCTTTATCAAAATCATTTCAATTTAGTAAAAAAAGTTTTAATATAAATGAATTATTGATTACTAAAATTATTTCAGATATTTTTCAATATTGAAATAACTTTATTATCAAAATAGTTATTTTGAGATTGAGATAAAAAGATGAAAAAGATCAAAAATCTCGATTTTTTTGGAAACACGTTATTAAACTGGGTGTATGTCTAACTCTAACAAACCTAAGGGGGTTTCGCAATGCAAATGTGTAAGAAATTGGTTTCGATATTAATATACAATACTTTGATACTCGTGCAAAACAAACACCAAAAGATCAATTACCATTAAAAATACATACTATCAATTACCGACATCTGCGTCAATTATTCAGATCTAGGTTCTACTCGTAGATATTTTATACTCGAGTACAAATGTTGAAGCAAGAAGAACGTCGTCTAGACATACCATAAGCACAGACACCCATCCATCCCACCCCAACACATCCACCAACCTCGGCTCAACTCAACTTCCCCAGATTTCGGCAATGCACCCCCTTGTCCCTCCCCGCTCCCGCTCTCCTACACTAATTGACCACCTCCTTAATCCACAATGAACCTTCTTTCAACTTCAAAAATGCCATGCCATGCCTCTTATAACACACTTGTGTTATAATTCCTCATCCATATCTGCATCCACATCTACATCTCTATATAAATCCTTCCTGGATAGACTTCGAGTTATCATACCTACTCGTGCAGCTTTTCCACTTACAAGAGCACTTACAAGAGTAACGATAAATTCGAAATCTAGAACTTTTCATCAGGCAGGATTATATACCATTGAACGGAATATAAGATTGAGGAATAGGAAGATGGCACCACCTGGACCTCTGAAATCTGATCTGGAGAGACAATATATGTCGTCTACCAGTAGTACAAAGTCAGATGTCGGTACTAATAATGGAACCAAAAAAGAAATTGTGGTTCCACAGCCTAGTTCTAGGTATGTATTTCGTTCCCAATACCAATACCAACACCCAGCAATCCATCAATGCTCATCCTTTCCATCCCAACCCCCAATTAACCCCCTTCCCCCTCGCCCCACAGCATCCTCCTCATCTCTCCCACCAACCAAATCCTCCTCCTCCACCGCCTCCACACCTCCTCCTCCTTCCCCTCCGCCCACGTCTTCCCAGGCGGAAACCTCGATTCCTACCACGAATCCCCCATTCCCTCTCCTCTATCCCCCTCTCGCCATCTCGATTCTGACGTATACCGCTTATGCGCCATCCGGGAATGTTTCGAGGAATGCGGGATACTTTTAGCTCGTGGTCGTGGTACTTGTTCTGAGGATCAGAATCAGGATCAGGATTTGCGTAAAGAAAGTGCTGCGCAATTAATACATATAGAAGAAGAAGAGCGCGAACAAGCGCGCAAGGATGTACATTCTAAGAAAAGGATATTTGGGGATTGGGTTACAAGTATTGGGGCAGAGCCTGATATAGCTGGTCTAATACCTTTTACGCGTTGGATCACCCCTTCGAATTTACCTAGGAGGTTTACTACGCAGATGTATATATATTTTTTGCCTTTGGAGGATTCTTCTTCTTCTACTTCTTCCTCTTCCTCTCCTCTCACACAAAACCAAACCCAAACCCAAAAACAAACACACACCCCCAAATCCGACAACGGCATCGAACACACAGACGCAGCCTTCGCACATTGCTCCACCTGGCTCGAACAAGCGCGGAAAAATGAGATAATTCTTTTTCCGCCGCAGTTCTATTTGATGTATTTGCTAGCGGAGTTTTTGGTTAAGCCGGGTGTGGGGAGGGAGTTTTCGAGGGGGGAGTTGGAGGGACAGAGGAGGGAGGTGCGGGGGTTTTTGGTGAGGGATGGGGATGTGGATGGGGAGGGAGGAGATGGGGGAAGAGGTGTGAAGTGGGGGGATAAAGTTATTTGTCCGAGTCCGGTTGTTTTGGGACAGGGAGTGGGAATAGGAATAGGGAAAGGGATAGGGGTGAAGAGGGCAGATGGAAGAGTAGTATTAGGGTTAGATAAACAAGGGCCGGAGTTAGAGGGGAGCGAGAGAAGAGGTGATGATAAGAGAGTTGTGCTAGTGAAGTTTGGGAAGGAGGGGCCTAGAGATGTGGAGGTATGGGATCGAAGGGAGGTTGAGGAGGAGGGGGTGAGAGGGGAGAAGGAGAGGGAGAGGGATGGGGATGGGGATAGGGAGAGGGAGAGGGAAGAGAATCTGGGAGGAGGAGGAGAAAAGGGAGGGGGAGGGGCGAAGTTGTGATGGGTTGGGTTGGAGTGGGTTGGAGTGTGATAACGTGATAACATGTATATGCTTACATTATAGACCAGAGCTACAGCTAGCTAGATGAATGAATAATTTGTACTCGAGTATACTCATATATTGTCCATAGATATCCTTTTAATAAAAATATTATACTCGTATACACGAGTACAAAGTACAAAAGTATAACAAAACAAGAACAAGAATATCATCATCATCATCATCATCATCATCATGATATACGGAGTATATTTCCAAAGATACGAGCCGAGTACATATCCAGCCATAATCTTACCTAACTACTCGAGTAGTCATAAATGAATAATCATAAATGAATTGCGGGTCTTGTGTCTCTGTGATTTGTATGATTGGGGAGTAAGATTGGGGAGGGAGTAAGTTATCTGTCAACTATATATATATATATATATATATAATACTCAATCTCAATCTCAATCTCAACCTCAAGGTAATATACATCCATACATACATACACACACCTTATAATTCCAATACCAATAGCCATCATAGCCATCCATCATACATAGCCATCAAATTTATAATATTTTATAATATCAGCCAGCCAGCCAGCCAGCCCGCCCGCCCGCACACTAATTGAAAAATCAAAGTCGCCTTGGTATAATAAAAACCCCCGGTATACATGTATATAATCTGAGCTATGTGAGCTATGTATCTTTCATGTTTGATCTCCTTTGTATAGTTCAGACACGATACTCGTACACAGTCACAGTCACAGTCACAGTCAAAATCTCCTTTCCATACATACTAATTACGCTAAAATGCTAAAATTGATCATCATGTACTTTGTACTATTATGGATACTGATATTTGTGTTGTTTCAATGTCACATCACATCATATAAACTATTCCTTCTCTATGCCTATTCATCTTCCCTCAAACTGTTCATTACCATCACCATCACCATCACCATCACCATTATCATTATCATTACCATCCTCAAAATAGATCTTCTTCCTCATCCTCACCCTCACCCCGATCCTTCCCCTCCCCTTCATCCTCATCCTCATCCTCATCCTCATCCTTTCCCTCCCTCCCCTCCCCATCCCCATCCCCATCCCCACCTAACGTCCTCTCCTCCGCATCATCCCCATACATCTCCTCATAACTCGGCCACTTAACCTCAAAACCCCTTTCCTCCTCCTCCCCATCCTCACCACCATCACTCAAAAACCTAAACGCCACACGCCCCCCCTCCACCAACCCCAAACTCTCAGGCGTATCCCCCAACCCCACCTGTAACTCTGTCCAGCCGTTACGCGGCTCATACGCATCTATTGGCAGCGCAAGCGCTATATCCTGAGTACCGGTTGGGAGGGGGATTTTCGTATCGAAGAGTGTGGTGGTGGTGGAGTTGAGGGTGGTGGTTGAGAGGGTGGGGTGGTTGGTTAGGGTGGAGGTGGTGGTGGTGGTAGAGGGGAGGGAAGGCATGGGGGTTAGGCCGTCGGGATAGCGTTCTCGTAGGATAGTGAGGAGTTGCGTGAGGATTTGAGTGAAGGTTTGGGTGGGGGGGACCAGGAGGAGGATGGTGTGCGTGGTGTGTTTGAAGAGGAGGGTTAAGTCGGGGGGGTCGAGGGGTGGAGGAAGTGTGGTGGTGGATTTCTTGGGAGGCTGTTGGGGTGGGATGATGGTTAGCTTGATGAGGATGAGAATGGGGTGAGGGAGAGGTTGGGATAGGTAGGATAGATGGTTATTTACCATTTTGTTTGATGTTTTATGATCTTGAAGGTTGAAAGGTTGAAAGATTATGCGGTTGAGACGGCAGAAAAGTAGACTTGTTGTCGATGTGGTTGGTATATTTGTTGGTTGTGTGATTAAGCTGACAGAGAAGATATTGATACTTGTTGGTTATGCGACTGAAATGACAGAAAAGGTGTTGGTATTTCTTGATTATGGTATTTTGATTCTTTATATTGTTTGTTGCTGCATATACTTCATCATAGTTTACCTAGGTAGGTAAGTGTCAACTTATAGAATTTCTTATGCAACGCGATAATCACTCGCGAAAGCAGCTGACTACAGTATCAAAAAAGCAATCCTCAATCTTCAATCTTCAGCCTTGCGCAATACAACTACGAGTACTCGATAACACAAACAACATCTTCCTGCTACTGTCATTCATTCATTCATTCATTAATACATTCATTTAATAAATCAAACAATCTATAAATCATGGACCCCTCCACCCCCTCCACCCCCTCTACCCCGTCCCCCTCTCCTCCCACCGAAGAAGAACTCCTCGAAATTCAAATGAAAGCCTGGCGCAAACAACAACACGAAGCCCTTAAACTCGATTCCCGCATTTCCATTCCCTATAGCGCCCGTCTCCCCCTCTGCACATCCATATCATTTTCCTGCGGCATGGCACTCGGAATCTCGCACGGTTCTCAATCTGCCAGCTTGCGTTTTCGAGCCGAGAATGCGCATCGATTACCTACCTCTCCTACTGGATGGTACTTGTATCACAAGAGTAAGAATTATAGCACGTCGCTTGGAGGGGTCAAAGAGGGGATGAAGATGGGTGGGAGAATGGCTTTTTGGACGGCAGGATTGTTGGCTATTGAGGATATGTGTGATAGGTGGAGGGGGAAGAAGGATGTGCTTAATACTGTGGTTGCGAGTTTGAGTGTGGCAGGGGGATTTAGTTTATGGAGTGAGTTGTTTCTATTACCGTTGGGTTTCTTTTCTAGTATTGGAGGTTTGGATAATAGTCCTATTGAATGCATTCTTTTCATACAATCAATAGTCCCCACGCGAGAGATGATGAGAATTGGCAATTGGCAGATGGATATGATACGATAAAAGATCAATGCTAATGAAATACCTTTTTCAGATCGCTTCCCTATAACAACAGCAGCTAGAATAGCAAAAACAGGGTTAGCATTCGGTATAGGATTTGGGTTGGTACAAGATGTAGTTGGTTATGCTAGAGGAAGAAGATTAGGATATGTGGATTTTATAACAGGAGCTGGTAGGAGAAGAGGGGAAGAAAAAGAAGAAGAAGAAGAAGAAGACGGATCGAGAGATGAAAGGACAACAATATAAAATGATAAAGAAATGGTAATTATATTCAAAGCATCATCATTCTTCTCTTCATTCATTCCTGTCATTTCTTGTTATTTCTTCATTTGATTTCATGTCTCAATATTTGATTATCCATCTTACTTGCTTCAAAACATCGGCATTGATAAGTTTTTGCTAGTGTTCTCGGTTCTCTTCGGTTTAAGAAATGGAATCAATGGAACTCCATACAATAATCAAATATCTGAGGTCAAATGAACCAATCAATTCATTAGAATAAACTTTAATCTCATGGTTGTTCACGGCTTGCTTGTTGGTTATGTTATCGATAAGCCTCAAGATTTAATTCCCCTCTTCTTCTCTCTTGATTCAAGTTATTTGATACTATACAACTCCGATTTCGCTGGCCTTTTTCTTCATTTCATTTGGGGGTTTTAATTGAGTTTCATTTACTATTTATTTCTTGTGTTATCCGGATTTCTTGTTCTCTTCTTTTTTCTCTTCAATTTTGTTTGTACATAACTACCTACAGTCAGTCAGTCAGTCATTATTCGTTGCGCAAGGTATCAGACGAATCACCCTCTCTCATCATGCCAAACTTGATATCACGGAAAGCATTATTTTGCTCCAAGAGATCAATCTTGATTGCTCCTTCAAATTACAGAAGATTATCTTCTCGAACATCACCTTTACAATCTACATATACCTCAAATGGTACTTCATCTGCAATAGAAATTCTTCAACCAATACAAACCGATTCAAGATCAACATCAGAACCAACAACCATGCCGAAGATTAGTCCTCTTTCGATATTACCTCTCAGTGCTATCATAAGATCATTGGCTATTAATACTATTTCTTCTTCTCCCGTAAGTTTTCCATGGGATTCTTATCAATCCAATCTTTACCTGGAAAACAATTACTAACGGACGTTCAATAGTTACTTCTCAGTCCATCCCTCAAAATAATGGCCATTCTCGCACATTCTCAAAATCCAATTCTATCACCCGATCGAAATCTCATTCTACGATTCTTCCTCAAGAATACATTTTACAAACAATTTTGCGCCGGAGAAAATCATGCCGAAGTTCAAAGAACCGTCCGTGGTATCAAAGCTCTTGGTTTCAAAGGAGTATTCCTCTGTTATGCCCGAGAAGTTGAGAAATCTCCAGGAGCAAACATTGATGTTGAAGAATGTGTCAAGAATGAAGTTTTACCATGGGCAGAAGGTACTTTAGCAACGGTGAGATTGGCCGACCCAGGAGATTTCGTTTCCATCAAAGTTACTGGTGCAGGAAGCTTAGCATTACAAGCTTTAGAGAAGCAAGGAGTATGTCATGCCACCCTCAAACAAGCCATCGATGACATTTGCGCTCTAGGTGCAGAGCGTGGAGTCAAATTAGCATTCGATGCTGAACATGTTGCTGTACAAGCTGGAATCGACCTTTGGACTCTCAAATACATGAAGAAATACAATCAACCTGGGAAAGGAGGAGCAGTGATTTATGGAACATATCAAGCATACCTCAAAGCTTGTCCTCAAGTCGTCGCAAACCATATGGCCATTGCACAGAAAGAGAATTTCACACTCGGTGTGAAATTAGTCAGAGGCGCATATATGGGATCCGATCCTAGGGAATTGATTCATGATACCAAACAAGGAACCGATGAATGTTATGATGGAATTGCCGAAGCACTTATCCGTCGAACCTACAATTACATTCTTCAATCCGCAGATGGAGACAATGATTTCCCCGCCGTGGATTTAGCACTCGCAGGTCATAATTTGGTATCAGTTCGCAAAGCACAAGTCATCCGTACCGAACAAGCTGAGAAGGGAATCGATGGCATCGAACTCTGCTATGCGCAACTTCAAGGAATGGCCGATGAAGTATCATGCGAATTGGTAGCGGAAGGAAAACTAGCCGAATCTCTCAAACCTTCACACGATTCCAAAATTACTGTTGATGGCGGCATCAATGAATTGACGGGTGGTACGAAAGGGGGAGAAGAGAAATTAAATCTGAAGACGGATATTCCAAAGGCGTATAAGTATTTGACGTGGGGTACTACGGGGGAGTGTATGAAATATCTTTTGAGGAGAGCGTATGAGAATAGGGATGCGGTGGGGAGAACGAGGGAGGGGAGAAATGAAATGGGTAGGGAATTAGTGAGAAGGGTGAAGGGAATGTTTAGTGCGTGATGGTTGTTATGATTTGATGATATGATTGCATAGCGTGGATTTGGGTTGGGATTTTGTCATTTGTAGGCAAGCATTATCGTAATGGTTGATTGGGCGGATGCTTTTGATTTTGATTGGTTGGTAGATTATTGAAGATACCATTGCATTACCCAGTTGAGGATGACTTGAGATCAGGAATTAGATATCGAATGAATGTATCAATACCGAATATGAATCAACATCTTTGAAAATAGAAATATGATATCTTGGTGATAACTAAGTTATAGAATATGATTTACGTACTAGATATCTTGAGATTTAAATTAGAATTAGAATAAACGCGAAATAAAAATAGGCATTCGCTTATTATAATTAGCACCGTACCGGTCGGTACACGATATGAATGAGAGCCACTGCTGCACTGCGGGGCAAGCCATGATTACCATTACCGATAACTCGTATTCGGATAAAAGAGAAGCGGGTGGGTGAGTTAGTCGAGTTAGTCACCCCCTGTATTAAAATCGACGCTAGCGAGAGATGAGATGTGATGCACGTCGCTTATCTAGATCTAGAACTAGATTGTATGGGTATGGGTATGGATTATCCCGATGCGCATGGATGGTAGTGACATAGTTTAACTTGGATTTTGGATCGAGATGAGAATGTATTGTAAGGAAAGAGTTTAGTTTAAGGTTTAATGCGGCTGGTTCGTATTGCCTTTACTTGGATTTGGATTTGGGTTTTTTTCTTCTTTATTCTTTCTTTATATACTGTTATCATATATAATCTTATGTATACGGATTTACGGAAACAAACAAACAAACATTAAACAACAAATAATAAACGACAAACGCAGTTTTTTTTTAAATTTAAATTTAATTGATGTCTTTTGTGAAGGTTAAGGGTATCCTTAGACAACATTTGAATTTAAATTTGAATAAGTCTATACAAGTACAAATATCATCAAAGAGCTTTTCATCTACGATTACGATAACGCCAGAGACAGAGACAGAGAGTGGGGTTTTGAGAAGGAGGGTTACCGGTTCGAGGTTTTCGTTATATCGACAAATACTCGTAGACTTAAGGTTACGGTTACGGTTACAGTTACAGTCGGGAAAATACTTTTCGACTTCTTCGACTTCTTCGACTCGGAGGGTTGGGTTGACTTTGAAGGGGGAGGGTGAGGGTAAGGGTGAGGGTAAGGTTATGTCTATGTCTACTAGGAATAAGAATAAGGCGGCGATGGCGGTGGCGGAAACGGCAACGGGGACGGAAACGGAAACGGAAATGGCAACGGCGAAATCTCCTTTGGTAACAGCATCGCCAGCAGTTCCACCAGCAGCAGCATCAGCAACTGTAACTGCAAAATCTCCTCTAGTTAAAGCAATCCCACCAGCAGGAAAACGAAAAGCCAGTTCAACTCCCGAGCCAATTGGTACAATCAATGGCACTACTAAGAAAGCCAAAGTTAGCGACGACAACCATGATTTATCCGAACTTCGCCAACCACATCACAGCGCCAAAGAGGCAGAGGAATATGGCATCGTGTTGCGAAAATACTATCCGCATGAAATGTGCAATCCGCGCGCTATAGCATATAACAATAATGAACTCCCACGACCCATCGAACTTTTACATTCTGCGCTCGAGGAAACGAAAGAAGAACGGACAAATGTGCCTGGAAAAGATAGCGTGGTGCATTGGTTTAAATGCGATTTGAGGACGAAAGATAATAAAGCGCTGCGTTTGGCAAGTGAAAAGGCGATGGAATTGGGGGTTCCGCTTATTGCGATGTATGTGATTAGTCCGCAAGATTTCGAGGCGCATTTGACGGCGCCGGTGCGGGTGGATTTTATATTGAGGACGTTGGAGATTTTGAAGGGGGATTTGGTGAAGTTGGATATTCCGTTGTATGTGGAGACGGTGGAGAAGAGACAGAGGGCTCCTGGGAGGATATTAGAGTTACTGGAGGAATGGGGCACGAGTCATCTTTATGCGAATGTGGAATATGAGGTGGATGAGTTGAGACGGGAGGCAAGGATGGTGCGTCAGTGTCTTGAGAAGGGCATTGCGATGGATGTTGTGCCGGATACTTGTGTGGTGAGTCCGGGTGAACTTGCAAGTGGACAGGGAAAACAATATTCGGTTTATACTCCATGGTTCAAAACATGGGTCGCATATGTTCACGAGAACTCGCATCTCCTAGATCTATTCGAATTCCCAGGAAAGAATCCCCCGAGCGCACGAAAGAAGTTCGCCAAGTTATTCGAGACCAAGGTTCCAGATGCACCCGCCAACAAATCCTTAACAGACGAAGAAAAAAAGCGCTTCCATTCCATGTGGCCAGCAGGAGAACACGCCGCTCAAGAACGCCTCACGAAATTCGCCAAGGAAAAAATAACCCAATATCAAGAAATGCGCAACTTTCCCAGCTTAAACCAAACATCCTGTCTCTCCGTTCACTTCGCCTCTGGCACACTCAGTGCGCGAACCGCCATCCGCACCGCACGCGATCACAACACTACCAAAAAGCTCAATGCCGGACACCCCGGAATCCAAACCTGGATATCCGAAGTCGCCTGGCGCGACTTCTACAAACATGTTCTCGCGCACTGGCCTTACGTCTGCATGAATAAACCCTTTAAACCCGAATATACCAACATCGTGTGGGAATACAACATGTCCCATTTCAACGCATGGACGCAGGGAAAAACCGGATATCCCATCGTTGACGCTGCCATGCGTCAGCTGAATTATAGCGGCTACATGCATAATCGCTGCCGGATGATCGTAGGATCCTTCCTGGCTAAACATTTACTAATCGATTGGCGCATGGGCGAGAAATACTTCATGGAACATCTAATAGATGGTGATTTCGCGAGTAATAATGGAGGGTGGGGGTTTAGTGCTAGTACGGGGGTGGATCCGCAGCCGTATTTTCGGATCTTTAATCCCCTGTTGCAGAGTGAGAAGTTTGATAAGCAGGGTACGTATATAAGGAAGTGGGTGGAGGAATTGAGGGGGGTGGAGGGGAAGGCGGTTCATGAACCGTTTGCGGATGGGAAGGCGAGCGGCGTGGCGAGGGAGAGGGGGTACCCGGAGAGGATTGTCGAGCATAAGGGGAGTAGGGAGAGGTGTTTGGGGAGGTATAAGGAGGGATTGGGGAAGGGGAAGTAGGGTGGTTTGGTTGGGGAGTGTTATCGAGATGTGTATGATTAGAGTTTCATAACTATGTATCCGGTCCGGTCCGGTCCGGTCTCGTAGGCTCGCTATAGATTGATAGGGGTATTCGTTTATTCGTTCATTCGGCAATTCAATGTTACAGTAAGGCCCAAACTTATGCTTAGGCTCAAACGCAGGCTCTAGTGCTGTGTTCTATTTTATTTTCTTTTCTTTTTTGTTTTATTTTATTTCATGAGTCTTTTCAAAATGAAGTAGCTTGACATGGAAAATTTCTCAAAACACATGTGGCCAAAGACTAGATGCATTATAATAGTTACAAACCTTTGATAGTCGAATAATCAAGCTTAATTTGTAAATCTCGATATAGTAGTATACACGGTTCCTCATAGTTCTTATAGTAACTTATTAACTTCATCAACTTTGCCATCATCCTCCTCGCAGTCCTCATCCTCTTTCTCTTCCACTTTCGCCATTTCCCATGTAGTTTCCTCCATCTCTAAAGGATTGATTCTTTGAACCGCTGCTTGCAAGTTCTCTCTCGCCCATATATACTTATCCACAGCTTCATGCATTTCAGCATCACGCCATGACTGTACTACCACTCCCTTTTCCACCAATTGGCCATGGCCTCCTATCTGTGGCTCTCGAACCCACACTTGTCGACATCTGATTCCTAATCTCGACAACGAGCGATCCACTAGAAGTCCTTGCATGCCTATCAAGTCGCAGCGATTTTCTTCGCTAGCTGGATACGTAAAGCTAAATATAAAAGTCGTTACCCGTCTCCCCAGGCCAAATCGAGGCATCAAGAAAGAAGGGGAGACTGTGAACAGAGCGCCGGGAGTGTGTGAGTCATGGATTCCAAATGCTTGTAGATACTGCGGATAGGCTGGGGATTCGAGAAACGCTTTGAGGGAGGTATCATCGTCCCATACTAAAGCATAGTCAGATCAAATAAGAACTATTGAAGACTAAGCAATCTCATAACGAACCGGCAACAAAAAGAACTTCTTCGAGATTCTTGATATTCCGACCATATGACGAATACATATAGCCTGGTGCATTCATAAGACCATTAAGTGATACATGCCAGATATCTGGGAGATCTTCAATATAATCTTTCAGTACCCTTGCTGGTAAGGGAATATCGATGGGAAGTCTGCATCGAGTCCAGCTTTGTACTCTTAGCTTTGTATCCTTGGGTGTTACTGTTTGCATCATGATAGTTTTGTGATTGTTATAACAGAAAATGATATGAATACAGACTGCCTTTATATGTAGTAGTTGATCAACCCGGATGAATGATAATCCGTTTCGGTTACAACTGTCGAAGTGGCCCGGAGGTTCCAAGGTTAATAAACTCGGACTAATATCTATTTCTCGCTAGTTTATTTCTCGCTAGACTATATTATTGTATCTTTATAATATATACTATAATATTTAATATAGATTTGAATCTGATATCGAAACCTTATATTATATTTATAAAGATATTATATTCTCTAGGAAATTTATTATTTTCTTTAAAATAAATAATCTCTATTATACAAATATTTGAGATTGTGACGGAACAGACGGCTCTCTTCCGCCCACTGGCTCATACTACATACATAGTATGATATGACGGCTCTCTTGGACCTTCCTTTCACAGCTTAGAGCCCTAGCTCTATAGCTCTAGACCTAGGCATCTTACGCCTAGGACCCTTTCACCCTTTTTGGCCTAGCCCTTATGGCTCCCAATACCTGTATATATAGTCCTCCTTTTAGCATCCTACATAGCTCTTCACTTGTAGATTCTAAGTACACAATCGGAGTCCTGTTTATACCCTTTTGGTCACAATATATAGTCCTCCTTTTAGCACCCTACATAGCTCTTCACTTGTAGATTCTAAGTATACAATCGGAGTCTTGTTTATACCCTTTTGGTCACAATCGTATACAAAATGAAAACCTTGATTTTTAAACTTTAATAACTTTTTATATAAAATCATGAAAAATCTAAAAAACTATAACTGAGCTAATAACTATATATAGAATATCTATTCAAAATTTCAGTTAATTAGATTCAATATTGATAGAATTGTGAATATTCGAAAATCACTGTTTTTGGTGTGAAAGGGTGGCCCGAAAGTAGGGTAGTTGACTTACCAGCACGACGTGTATGCTCACCCCAGCAAAGTGAGTAATCATCACCAGTATCGTATGAATCGGAAGTTGGGACCTCTGATGTTGAGGGGTACTTGAGTAATTTCGGTTTATTCGATGATCTCGCATCCGGATAGTTGTGTGATGTTTGTGTAGGGCCTGATCCTACCTGAGGGGAAGATGAATGGTTCGTGTTGCGACGAGACGTATATTTTAGTTGGGCTTGGGATTTGCTCTAGAACTCATTGTATTAGTAATATATATTATTTCATATATGATACTATATATAATACCTGTTTTTGAATAGAAACTTTTGGGTTTGGGTTGGGATATTTAGGTAGATCAGTATCGCTGGCATCCTCTGAGCTATCTAGGTCATTATTCTCTTCGAAGTTAGAGTCATCATTGCTATCGTTATTCAATTCTTCGCTCTTATTGTTATTATGGATCTCTGTATATATAAAAGTTTTTTGGCATCGACACAGAGGATCTGAGATAAACAAGTTTGCAACCGTAGATTGGCGTTTTCGTGTATTTTTGTTATTACTCATTTAGTTGATAACAATATAAACGAAAGAACTATAATAGAAATGAATCTTCAAAAGAGGGAAAATTTTTTAGATAATCATAGTTGTAGTTATAATTATGATTATAATCATGATTATAATCATAATCGTAATCACAACACGAATAATAAAAATAAATGGTTACAGCAATATAATTACCCCGCGTTTTAGAGGTCCTATTTTAGGTATAGGTGTTAATAGTTGCCACCAGGTATCAGTAGGTGAACGAATAACCTCGGCGTGCCGGGGAATAGACGGCGGTAGGTATAGGTAGGTATTGGTGTAGGTATTGGTGTAGGTGTAGGTGAGATAGGTAGGTGAGATAGGTATAGGGTCGAAGCTGCAAGCCAAAACCCTTAATACTAAGACTCTAAATTGTTTTATTCTAATATACAAATATCCTCCTATATTCCAAATACCCCAAACTATACCTGTATCCCGTTTCATTTCCATCAATCAGTTCATATGACCGACTAACAACGCAAGCTGTGATCCTTGGTCAATTTGGTTAATTTGGTCAATTTTATTTGGTTAATTTGGTTAATTTGGTCAATTTTCACAATCAATCATATTAACCCAAATATACACTTTTCTCATTTCAGATTTATATTTGTTGGAAGTGTAACTGTATATTATATTGTATATATTCTACATTACAGTTGTAATGATAAGCTAGCTAGTCATGTTTCTTGCCACACACAA